TGGAAGCCCCCGCCCCGGCCGCCAGCGAGGAGCTCACGTCCGTGGTGGTCCTGGCCGACGGCTGTGCCATGCAAGTGCAGCTGGACGGCGTCGACCTGCTGCTGGAGCCCCAGCCCACCTCGGTAATGCGAGTGGTGCTCCCTGGACACACCTTAATCCTGGTCCCTGAAGGTCTCCAGTCTAACGCCCATCTTGGACAGCCTGAGATCTCGTCCACCAGCGCACAGGAAGCCGCTCTCCTGCACATGCCCCAGGACCAACTTGTCGTCCTCCAGCAGGGATCCGCCTGTGAGTACATCCTAGACAACTCCTATCAAGAGGACGCCTGTGATGAGGATGAGGACTCTGGCTTCCTGTCACCCTGGATAGGTGCTCCAGCTGGTGAGGCCTCTGAGCTTTTTTCTTCCATCATCAGGATGCCCAGCCCTTGGCCTCAGGACTACAACCTCGAACCACAGCTTCCAGTGCTCTCCCCTAATGCAGCCAGAAACATCTGGGACTTGGACAGCTACCTGCTGGGACCTTTCCCCCCCTCACCACTGCAGCCTCTGCCCCCATCTCCTCCTCCAAGTCCCCAAGAGCAGCGCCCTGCACGCCCAAGAGCACGGTCCCCATGCAAGGCTAGGAGGCGACTGTTCTGTGAATGAACTACCCCTCACAAATCCTGATGCCCCTCAAGTGAGAGGTTTCTCTACCCCTAGATGCAATGCACTTAGTCACCTGTTTTAGGAATAAAAGTGCCACTCTTGCTGACGCAAAGGACTGCAGACTCTTGCCGAGGGCCCTAACAGATTCCTAGAAGTCCTCGAGGTACATTCCCAACACCCTCTATTTACCTGATTCTTCTCTAACCAAGAAATAAGTAGGTTGCTTATGCTCTCGGTGGCCTTTCTTGTTTTTCCATGAATTTTTGAAGATTTAGCCATCACTTACCTCCTTGGTGTTTTAGGCTGCACTCCTGGGAAACAGCCGAATACCTTGATGAGCTATGATGATTACTTAACCTTAATGTACAGTGTTCTCAGCAGTCTCGGAAGCTACTGGTAAATTCTTCCTTTTCAGTCTCTTCATTATAAATGAGATTTATGGTGAATTTTACAGGCCGATTTCAGCATGCACTGGGATACGCTTTTGTTTTGTTTGTTGCTGTTGTTTTGTTTTATTTATTTATTTTTAGACAAAATCGCACTATGGTAGCTCTGCCTATCTTAGAGTCACTATGTAGTAGACCAGGCTGGTTTTGAACTCACAGAGATCCACCTGCCTCTGCCTCCCAAATGCTGGGATCAAAGGCGTGTGCCACTATCCCTGGCTTGTGTTCCTTTTATACTAAGTTCACATCGACATTTCACCAGTAAACTAATGGAAAATGTTTTCATTACTGTTATTTCATTACGTTATTTTATGTTTTAAATTCTCAATTATTTTTTCTCCGATAAACCTAATTTGTAATGTTTTGAATACAGTTACCTTTTTTATCTTTTTTTTTTATGTTACTGGTGAAGTTGAAATCTGCAAGATCATTCATAAAATCACAGCTGTTCAGATTTACCAACCTACTTAACCAAATCTTTCCTCTCTGTTCTCAGGCTACCCTCAATTTTCATCTTTCTAGGGACTATAGATCTGCTTCTAATTTCTTTTTGCATTAATGCAGATTTAACCTAGAATGTAACACTTGCTGGGCAAGCTGTTTAATATAATTATATCCCTTGCTGTCTCCTTTGTATTTTGAGGCAGGGTCTCACTAAGCTGCCCAGGCTAGCTTTGAACTCATTCTTTCGCCTAGACCTACCTTGAATATGAAATCCTCTGCACTAGCCACCAGAGGAGCTGAGATAGCCAGAGCCTATCTCTTACACACAGCTTTTTTATTGTTTAGCTTATTACTGATGTATATTTGGGTAAATGTGTGTGGTTTGTATCTGAGTACAGGACCATGGGTGCCATCCCGTGTCTGTGCCACAGCACACCTATGGAAGTCAGAGGACAACTCGGAAATCAGTTCTCTCCTTCTACTATGAGTTCAGGAGATGGATTCAGGTCATCAGGCTTGTATAGTGAATACTTTTTCCCATTGATACCATCTCTCACCTGCCCCCAAAATTATGCTTTAGCAGTTAGCTCCACTACATCTGTCCTGTCTTGGTTCTGTAATCCTGAGCATGAGTTTGTGTGATAAACTTACAATTTTAAGCTTGAAAATGTTCTGATCACATACTCACTTTTTTTTTTTTCAGGATTCTAAAATTTATTTAACCTGGAATAGAAATGGCTCAGTGAAAATCAATAGGCTATAAACCACTGTATGATTTTTTTTTTTACAAAAGTTTATCCTTAGATGCACAATAGACCCCAACACAATGCTACCTTCTAAACATTGGTGGGGGGAAAGTTTCAGTAGAAGTGGAAAGAATCAAGGGACATCGGTATCTCAGGCCAAAAATAAATACATAAAAGCCATTCTTTAAAAATGAGCCTCCTTAGTTCCACCTGTGGCCAGGGGCCCTTCCCTGAAGGCTTCACTTTTAGCTATGGGAGTTTCCTCTCTTTTTGTCCATTTCAGCTTGAAACTTTTCTCTTCTTCCTCTGTCTCTTTAGCATGTCCGTTGTGCTGACTTGAGGCTTCTAACCACCTTTGTGGAGTATGTGGTATCTGTCATCTCTTCCCCAGCCCTTGGTTCTACACTTAGTCTTAATTCTAGCATGATACTTGGCTACATTAAATACATATAATATAATGTTTCACCATTTTTTTGGTCTAAATAAATGGTCATCTGCCGAACAAAATAAATACTATATTTGGGTTTGTTTGTTTTTGTATATTTTAGTTTGGGGGATTTGAAGTGTTTTGTTGGTGTGTTTTTATTTTGGGACAGGTGCTATGTAGCCCAGGCTGATCTGGAAGTCCTTATTCTCCTGCTTTTGCCTCCCAAGTCCAAGGATTATAGTTGTGTGCTACCCATCTGGCTTCATTTTACCATATTTAAAATATTCGTTTGGTTTTTTTCATGTCACATAGTTTGATTGTAATGTGTCTACAAGGAGCTATTTCTATTTGGCTTGGCTGAATGTAGTTGACTGTGATTGTTGAAAATTGTCTTTTAACTGAAATCCCACAAAAAGACTGTCTCAGAGTCTCACCCATCCTCAGGTTGAAAATTTAATCAAATATATGATGGTGGTACTCCGTCTATCTCTTATGACTCATTGTGTTTGTAACTTTTCTGTTACTGTGATAAAAATATGATCAAAGACAACTTAAGGGAACCGGGCATTGGTAGCACACACCTTTAATCCCAGCACTCAGGAGGCAGAGGCAGAGGCAGGCAGATCTTTGTGAGTTTGAGGCCTGTCTGATCTACAAAACTAGTTTCAGGACAGCCAGGGCGGCTACACAGAGAAACCCTGTTTCAAAAACCCTAAAAAGCGGGGAGGGATATTTTAGCTTATGGTTCCAGAGGGCTGGAATTCATAATGGCAGGGAAGGCATGGCATGGCTGCCAGAGCAATGGGCTGCTGGCTAATCACATTTTCATCCACACACAGGACAGGAACCTGGAGGCAGGAGCTGAGGCAGGAGCCATGAAAGAGAGCTGCTTACTGGCTTGTTTCCTGCTTAGTTTGCTTTCTTATAGAACCCAGGACCACCAGCCCAGGGATGACAGCACCCACAATGGGCTGGGCTTTCCCATATTGGTCACTTACTGAGAAAATGCCCTAACCTGGATCTTATGGAGGCATTTCCTCCTTTGTCTCTGGTGGCTCTAGCTTGTGTCAAATTGACAAAAAACATAGCCAGTACAGCCACCCCTTTGAACTACTTCCCTCTAGCAAGATTCCACATCTTAAAGATTCCAGAATCTCCCCAAATAGTGCCTCCAACTGGAGACTAAGTATGCAAACCTATGAATCTTTAAGGAGATGTTTCTCATTCTAGTCACCATACTCGTAATATCTTAATATTATAAAATGGTTATAACACAACTGCTATTCATTAATTCCCTCCAGAATTCTATTAATAATATACCTGTAAGAAAATTCTCATTTCAAGATTGCATTAATTTTCCAAGATGTTTATTTTCTTATTTTAAATCTTCCCCTTAAAGTCATGGGCTTGTTTTGTGGATGTCACTTTAATACATTTTACCTTTTTGTAAATGTATTTATTCTTCATCATATTGGATTGCCTCATTGCTCAGCAGTTTTCTTTGGTGGACACAGTGTGATCAGGAATTCATCTGTTTCGTCCTGCATTTTTTTAAACTGTTATTGATTCTTTGTGGATTTTACAGCATACATTCGATCCCACTTATCTCCCCATCTCCTCACATCTGCCTTCTGCCCTTGCAACCTCCTCCCCCCAAATCAAAACCAAATTTAAAAGCAAATCCAAACAAAACAAAGAAACAAAACAAAAAAAAAAAAAAAGAATTTCATCATGGAAGCTGTAGTGTGGCGTTCATGTTTACTTGCAAGTGTTCATTGCCTCCAGTCATTGTCTGGCTCAAGGCCTCTGGTTTCCAAGCTCTCACTGGGGTTCCTCATGGATATCCTGTGGTTGTCCTCTGTTGTTGAGATTCTGCTGTTTTGGATCTGTAGATTCGTCCCCTTCACACACTCCAACAGTTCACAGATTCGGTGAATGTTGGGGTGGGACATCCTGCATTTTTAATTCTTTCACTTGCAACATATGCAACTCACTCCTTTGGATTGTTTGCAGCTTGTCTGTCTAGAAAATAAATATCTAACACTGAAGCAATTCCACAGCTGTTCATTCTCTGTTTGACAATGGGAAGATGTTCAGCTCCTCATAGGAATGGAAGTCTTAATTACTACAACTTTTATTCTCAGTTCAATGAATACATTAAAATATCAGCTAGTCAGTCAACAACTGGATTTACTACTCATTTTCTGGTCCCTATTTAGGGTGGAGGTGATGCCTGTACCTTTCTTTTAAAATAAATGTTGGGTATGAAAGCTATCCATGCTATTAGCCAGTGGGAAACTTTACATGCTACAATACTAACCTGCCAGGCAAGATATGCCCACTGCTGCAACATTGGTTGGAAGGTTATGGGGATAAACAACTAATTTTGTGTTATCTTTGAGACTTGTTTCACAGGAAGGAATTCATGCCTTGAATACAAGTAAGCTTGATGAAAATCCATGGCTTGGAAGTCATAAGTCCTAGAGTAGAACAGAACCTAATGCTGCTGTATTGATACATGGGCACATTGTCAAACTGCCTTCTAAATATTTACATAAGTGCTATCTTCAGCCTTGGCCAGGAAAGCTTCTCTCTGCAGTGGTTAGCAGCTAATACAGAAACCCACAACTGTTAAAGTGCTAAGAATAAGTGAGTATCTTGTGTTTGGCCCTAATGGGACATCTATATCAGCTGCACCCCCACATCCACCATGATAAAAGAAGAGGGGTGGAAAGACCCTAAAAACTGAAGGATGAGGAGGAAGAGTGCTATGAAATGCTGACTCATGAACATGATGTGGCCACTGCAACTCATGAACTCATTGTAGCTGTTGTTACCTGCAAAAGACATGCACAAGATGAAGCCAATGAGATCAGTCAACATTACAACAGGCAGCATCAGTTGAACTCAGTGGGTTACACAGGGAAGAAGAGGGGA